TTTTGTCCCATCATATTCGATGCGTGCGTTTGAAGAACAAAGAAATCTGACTAAAGCATGAAAGCCGCGTGGTATAATTGTATAAATATAAAATGAAGGATCCTTTTATAAATTTTTTTATAAATTTTTATAAATTATATTATGTATTCTCGAGAAAACATAGTGTAACCTAATATTTTTTCGGGAGAACATAGTATAATTTATAAGAGTTTGTAAACAAAAAATTTGTAAATATAACACTTTCTTAAAAATAATATATAAACAAAAACGTAATAAATGAGTAATTCGCAATCTTTCTAGTTTCGGTGGCCGAAAAGGTTAAAGTAATCAGAAAAATGTGCAAGGGGTTGGCAGAACTCAGTCTGTATGAACTGAATGTTTTGACAGAATAATGAAAAGAATGAATAAAAGGGGCAAAGCTGACGAGTTGTTGAAAGTGATGGCAGATCAAAATATCATTAAAATAAATTTATTGGCATAGGTCCACCAAATTAGTTAATGACCCACTCCAGCTCCACTCGTTAAGTCTGTTGTGTACTGAATCATCGCATAAATTGTCACGGTAGTTTCAATATTATTCTTTTTATAATTCGAATTCGGGATCTCTAACTAAAAAATATTTTTTTTATCGCTCAAACTAATTATTGATACATATACACTACTTTAAATCTTTATAGTTTTTTTTTTCTGTAATAAAATCTTTATAGTTTTTACTATCTAATTATGACTGGTTTTTTTTTTTTTTAAATACAAACCACTAGTTTCATGCATTTTGCTTTCTTTGCTAATTCAACCACATTATTACAATTAGAGGTATTGTGCACTTTGCAATTTTTATTTTTTTTTTGGTATCCTTGTGCACTTTGCAATTAATTGAGTATATATCATGTAAAAAAAAATTACACTAATGATACATCAAAATTAAACTATGTTCTATTTAGTAAAAAATATAACAATATATTATTATTTCATAAAATCATATTTTATAATATTACTCATGACAATTTTAATATTTTTCAGTTTAATTTCAACACTTAATATATATTACCCAATTCCGAAATATATGCTATAATGAGTTGCCTTAATGAGTTTTATTTTATAATATTTGTTGCTTTAGACAACGAATAAGATATTAATTTTTTTTATTTTATCTATATTTCTTATTATCTTTTTTTTGGTATGCATATTTCTTATTATCTTTACTAAATGAAACGAAGGATAATGAAGATTAATTTTATTTTTATTTTTAATTGATTCTTTAGTTAAATACTATTTATATTTTCTTACATTATATTATCTAATAACTACCCTAATTCTTATAAAAAACTTTGAATGATATATATGCCAAATAAATGGACTAACATAAATATGAGATTTACTAACAAGTATCATTATAAGGAAAATTATTAAAATAAATAAATAAAGGGATGAATTATTATAGTGAAAGCAACAAGATATTTAATATACTTGCTTTAAGTATTTTTTTGTTCAAAAAAATTATCACTTCAGAAGATTTAGTTTATTTAAAATTGTTTAAAGGGATGAATTTCTTAGTTTGATTCAAATAATGTTACTTTGAAAATTAATTAATTAATTAAATTTTTGTAACTATATCCTTATCTTTTTTTTCATCATTATTAACATTAATACAGTAGGAGGATAACATAGTAAAAAATAAAATTGATAATTGAAATCTTTTAATAAATATTGTTCAATGTTTCATAACTAATACTTTAAGCTTAGGGCGTTGTTATCAAAACTATATAAATAAATATAACGAACCAACTTTTTCAAATTTGGTAAAATGTGGTTAGATTGGTTGGTTGGTGTATACATCAAATTTCGAGTATTCTTAACTGTGAGAGTCCTTTTAATTTAATGTTGATAAAGTCAAAAGCGGTTTATAGCTTTAAGCAGTAAGCAATTTAAATTCAAAGATTGAGATTTATAATATCAAGGGTTTGAATTCATTAAAAAAAAAAGAACTTATAAACTGTGCAACTTAAATATTTCAAATCTCACCTAACGAATATTAATTAAAAACTTATCCTAAGGACAAAATCAAAGTAATTTTCTATTTATAGTTTATTTATTTTTGAAAAATATCATGAAAAAGTTTGTTTGATAAAGTCAAATAGCATTGAATAATTATATCTCAACAAAACAAGGAGCTGGGGACATTAGATTTCCCTAGTATATATCCAGAGAGCGGAAGAGAAGCATGAGAGGACTCATTCAATAGTCAAAAGTTAAAGTTGAGGCTATTATAGTGAGATTTCACTAATTAAGAACCGGGCATTATTTTTTTTTCAGCAGCGGCAGAAAAATAGTATTTGTCCCAAAGACAAAAAATGAGATCCATTAATTTTTTTTTTTAAAAAATTATCAAGATCCGATGTTATATCCTGATAATTTTGTATATGTGACAGATAAAATATTTTTGTAACAACTAGAGAGAACCAAATAATCGCTATCGAAGTCTTCTTCGTAGGGTGACATATTTGTTCAAGCTGGACTTTTTGGTCATCCACAGCCGAATTTATCGACCCCACGATTCATTACAAATGCGGTCTTGAATTAAGTTAATTTTGACCATTTTCATATTTCAACTGGATGTTGTGTTGTTACATGTCAATACCTCTTTCAACAGACACGATTGGAGGGGGCTGGTGTGGGCCACCACAACACGGGCAGCAGCTCCAATTTTTTAATTTTTTTTATATTACAATAACATAAAATCATTATTAAACATGAACCAATTATCGATTCGGTTTGAGTGTGAATTAATGGATATTATGATTACTGAATTTTATGACACGGTCCAGTTTGAGACTGATTGAACCCGGTTTGATAGCAGTTTGCCGGTTGAATATCAGTTAAAGTGCGTAGTCAATTAATTGTTGGACGAGACAGATTAATTATTCGGTTCGCGATTCAATCGATCAAATTTTATTAACATTGTTTTTAACTGTCAATTTCTTCTTTCGGTAAATAATAGCCAACGGACATCATCCACTAATCATCTTCTTTTCTTCTTTATATTTTATCTTTTTCCAATTTTTATTTTATGATTGTGTAAATGGATCAGCTGGATTAACAAGAGCCTACGGTTCAGCCTATAGCAAGACATACTCGACCTATTAATTTAGTCACACAGAACAGATTAAGGCTTTCAAAAAAGCCCATTTAGAAAACAAGTCATAAGCTTTCTTTTACATGTCAGACCTTTAAGTCCGTAGGACAGCCTATATTATCTTATTTATTTTAAATAAAATAAATAAATTATAATTTTAATGATTTTAAATAATAAAATAATATGTAAAATTTACAATTTAGTCCTACATAATATTAACAGATCATGTCAGGTCTAAAATATTTTACACAAATCTCTCTTATTTAAGCTAAACCCTAACTCATCCCAACCTATTTACGCTCTTTCCTATAACATCAACTTCTAATCCTATTGAAGATTTTTTTAAAAAGGTATAGATTTTTTTAAAATTTTTATAATACATTGATATTAGTTAAATTTTTAAAAATAATACAACCTTAACATCAATTAATTTTCACCGAATCTTTTATCTGATTTTTTTTTTTTTTTTCTGATTCCGCCACGCATACTAAATATTTTCCTATTTTGGGCAGCTAATCTGGTAACATGCTAACTGTACATGATAATTATCAAGTTTAACCTTTTCGTTGAGGACACAACGTGTGAAGAGCACTTTGTGAACAATTATGGTTCCGACTTGTACAATAGTATGAACGGTTTGGATCTTGATACGCGTGCCGACGGAGGCTAGGCGGTGGCGGATTTTCATTCTCCTTCCACATTTGCAACTACCCAACAACAGCATTTCACACATATATCCGATAAGATTTGGATGCTATCATGTAAAATTAAAATAAAATAAAATAATGTGATCATATGAAAAATTATAATTACAAAAAGATGGATCAATAATAATAAAGAATGATTGAAAAAATATTAAAATAAATAATTATAATTTTATAATTATTATTTTACCTTTTATAAAATGTAATCTTTTCACATAATTATATCATCTTTTTTACATGACAGAATTTATTTTCATATTGACAATATATGAAAATGCTGATGTTTCTATATTATTATTTTTTTAAAGAAAGTTAAGTAGGCAATTTTCTCTCTCTCTTTTTTATCTAATGAAATTAGCACGTTTTTCATTCGACATTAATTTAGTGACAAGTAATCTATTAAAGCAGATTTTACAAACGCGTTTTGGCGAATCCTTCGACCCTTCCACGTTTAGAATCTTACGTTCGTGTTCAAACCTGCTGTTTGGTGCTTTCCGACACACGTGTAAAGCTCAAATACAACTTCAACTCCTTTCTTTCATGGACTTTAGTTATTCCTTTCTTCATTTTTCTTTTTCATTATTTTTTTTATATAAAATGGTATTACTGATATTTGAATATATTACTTTATGTCAAACTGTTACCACTTACCACCAAATCATTTCTAGTGCTATTTTTTTTTAAATATAATATAAATTTATTAATATAAGATTCAGTTAATAACTTAACCTTTATTGAATTGATTATTTACATATATAGTATTTGAGTCTCCCTGAGTTAATAAACTCTTATGTAAAATAATTCACCAAATATCTTAAGTTTTTGGTTTTCTTATATCTTATTCTCCGGGTGCCTACTTTGGGTGAGTAGTAAAATAAAAACCAATACTGCTTTGATCATGAATGTCTTCAATCAAGATATATACTAGGAAACAGTCACCGTGGAAACTCAAATTTAATTCGTGCCTTTTCTTTCATAATTAAGACATAGGTACCAACACCATGCTTCTTCAAACAAACATTTCTACATAACATAGTAAATTCAAATATCATAAGGACGATATAATCATGAAAATAACAACAGTAATTAAATGCATGCAGTGACAAACGAAAAAGAAAGAAACACCTTGAGTTGCGGCACACACACACACACACATACACATATATATAGTATCCTCTTCAATTAATGTTTACCATCCATGTCATCCCTCCAATTACTAGGAGGCTGATCAGAAGTAGAAGAAGAACCTCCAAATTGCATATTCCGGAGTCTCAGAAGCTCTTGTTGTTGCTGAGATAATCCAGAAGATGAAGATGCAGCCGTTAAGGGCTGAGAAGAAACAAACATGTCTCTACCATAGAAACGAAGCATATCTTGATTGAAGTTGCTATTACTTCCACTACTACCCAAAATTTGTGCGTAATGAAAGGGACTTGAATATGTTTCTTGAGCAAAGTGTGGACGGGAAGCAAGAGCAACAACTGGGTTAGATGCTTGCTCATTAATATTACTACTGCTTGACACTGCATTAAACTCTTGATGATGATTTGTGAGGTAACCAAACTCGCTTGTACCTTGAACCCTTTCAGGAAAATTCAGCTTTGCTTTGCTTCCTTTGAATCTGAGAGCTGCTTCATCATAAGCAAGAGCAGCAGCTTCAGCAGTTTCAAAAGTTCCGAGCCATACCCTTTGTGCCTTCTTCGGATCCCTAATCTCCGCAGCCCACTTTCCCCATGGCCGCTGCCTCACTCCTCTATAGTGTCTTCTTCTTACGCTCCCTTCACATAACCACATAAATCAATGTATTCGTACACGCATATATATATAATAACCAGTTATTCTTATTTCGATATAACAATAACATTTCTTGTATTCATTCTTGGTCATTAATTCGCTTATATTTAAAGATTCAAATAACTAAACAATTAGAACCGTTAAATATAAGTGGAATAACGATTAAAATTAAATGTAAAATTATTCTTAGCTCTATATATAGAGAAGTAATCCTTATATATAGTCTTAATATTACATATTTACAAAAAGATTATTTTTTAGATTCGAATTTATAATCTTTCAGTCTCAAACAAATAATTGTACGAGAGATATGAGAATGTAACTTCGTAATCACGCCCAGCAACAATCCCAAAGTTGTGCCAAGGAACCCATTAAAAAGGACCTATTATTTTATAGAAACGAAAACTGAAGGATTATGAATACAGTTACACCATGCCTTATCATGTGGAAGCTAATGGTTCTAAGAAAGAAATTAAAACCATAAAGTTTGCACTAGATACGCGAGGGTACGGAACATGAGATATCAACCCTAAATCACTAATTAATTATATTTGGTTTTCAAATCCAATTTGAACGCAATATATCATATATTACAAATTATATAATTAAGACCAAAAACCGGATAATCATATATATATATATATATATGTAGCTGTGTCGGTGAAGCAGTTACCTTGATCTTGCCGTGGTTGTTGGGATTGTTCGTTGTGGGTTGAGCTGGACTGTGACGAAGTTAAAGGTTGTTGATCATTATGTGGCTGAAGTTGGTCATTGTTAGTGCCTCCAATGACTTGCGTAAGGGCTGAGACCATAGCCGACATATCTTGTTGTGACCTTTCGGAATAGATTGGGAACAAAATTTCCTCTTCTTTTTCCGCTTCTTCGGAACCATGTGACCATTTTCCATGTCTTCTATCCACTTTAGCAACTGGTTGATGATATATATATTTTGTGTGTGTGAGAGAGAGATATCAATAAAGTGATTGTTTGAGAGTGTTCTTAACTAAGTTTTCTAGTTCCATTCATCATGGGGACTGAGGATGTTGTGTGGGATAGAGTAGAGTGCCAAAGAAAATTGAATCCAACATGCAGTGGATGCTATGTGTGACCAAATTAACGTGAAGCAGATCGAAGGAAGAAAGAAAGAAAGAAAGAAAAAATAGATCTAGGATGAGATGGGAGAGGATGAAGCTAGGGTTTTGGTTCAATGATTTTTATGTGTGTGGATGACTTGTTGTGAAGTGTGAACTCGATGAGAAAAGATAACGGCGCGAAACAGAACGGAAGGAAATCGAAAGTCACAATTTTATTTTTTTTCTTTTCGAGAAATTCTTTAAATGTAGTGTAAGAAAAAAAAAATTATTTATTTCATTTTCACCTTAATTACGTGACTCATTATTATATTCCTTTAACAAACATTTTTAATATTAATTATAGTTAAATCGAAAAAATTTGGTTACATAACAAGAAGTTTTTCTAAGAACAGTTATCGTGTTTGGTATTAAAAATGTTTTAAAATTCCTAATTAAGAAAGTTATGTAGAAGTAAAAGTTTTTTACATGTTGTATAAGGTAAAAATAAATTTTTTTTATCCCTAAGTATAAAAAATATCCCCAAAAAAATATGAATATATATAAATTGGAAAAACTTTTTTTTCTCACCTTGTCGATGGGAATGAAACTTTCTTGTGAGAACGGAAAAATGTTAACTAGTTAAATTGCTAAATTATCCATAAATTTTGTCTTCTTTTACTATATATAGACTCATTCTCATGCTTCGTATTTCTTTAGGTTTTGCTATATAATTTTCTTCGAATTCCTTTTACACACTTATTTACCATTCGAGCTTTATTAAGTTTCTAGGCATTGGAATTTGGATAAGATAACACAAACGTACAGCATTAATGACCTTGTTACCTGCTTCAAGCATGAAAAGAAAGGAGTAAACAGAAGGATTTGAGTATTTCAACAATTGAAAAGGATTAAAGGGCTAACTAATATGGAAAAAAGTACAGGTTTGATTTATGCATGATTGCGAAGAATTATATTATAGTGGATTATATTTTTACTGAGTTGAAAGATTTTTATGTACGCGAAATTTTAACAACACAAATCCTATAGAGATCAATTAGAGCCAAAATTGCTAGGCTTTTTCTCATTGATTTTTTGGAAGGTGAAGTATCAAGTTGCCTATTATCTCAAGTTGTATAAATGTATTGGGCTTACCAACCAATTGATATGCTTAGGTTGATAAATTTTAAAATATTTTCCAAACCTTATCTTTTGTTGCAAATTTGACACACATATATATATATAGGTTTTTTTTTTCTGCAATCAATGTAGTTAAGTTATCTATATTTAATTCAAAACGACGTCGTTTTAAGGTGAAAATTAAAGTATTTTTATAATTATAATTTGTTTCGCATTTATAATAGTCTTTCTCATTATAATTTTTTAACTCAAAATAACATCATTTTGAGAGTGAATGTAGATAACTTATCTATATTCACTGTAGAAATATTAAAGCTATATATCTAACTCCTTCAAAAATAATTTTATTTTGAAAAATCTTATATTTGTAGTACTCCCTTTATTATAAAATAAGTTATAAACACACATTCCTAACACTTATTACTTAATTTATATTAATTATTACACTTTGAAATTTAGAATATTTAATTATTTAAAAAAATTAAATATATTGTATTCTTAATTTAAATATCAATATAGTGTAGCAAGATGTACTTTTTATATTTTTTAAATATTTATTATCTAAAAAGAATTTTTTTTTCTTTTATGGATTATTAAATTGTAAGTAGATATTCTGTAATTTCATTTATTATTTATTTATTGACTAATAATAATTTTTAGAAGTAAATTATATTCCTAATAATATTTTACTTGAACCAAACGCGATAATGAAATTTTGTTAGAAATATAAAATATTATTCTGAAGAAATTGAGTTCTAGCCAAAATATATTTTGTCAATTGTTTAAATCAATTCTATTCTTTTGAATAAAATATTATTTTGTTGTGAATAAAACATTCTCCGTACCAAACATTGCCTTAAGAATTTCCCTTTTTCTTTCGTAAGACTATGAGGTCATTGAATACGAAATTAATTCAGCTTATAATATGATTTTGAACATTAGCCCTACACGCAAAGCCCATAAGTTGGTTAAGTCGTATCTTAGGATTGAAGTCTAAAGTCTTCATTTGCTCATTATACTTGTTTCATTTTTTAGAAAAAGAAGTTATTCTTATACACTTTTTCTTTTATGTACTAGTTATATAATTCTCATGTCACAGACACGATTAAAGAACAGGTTCGGGGTCCATCTGTGTTTTTTTCTCTTTTCTCTTTCGACTTTCTTTCTCTTTTAATTGTCATTCTCCGGAGAATTATATAATCCTTCTTTTATATACTCTAGGACTCATTTGCTGGACAGGATAAGATAAATGTAGGATATGATATATGGCTGATAAGGGTAGGATATGATATGAAGCTGATAAGCCTATATCATATCCTGTGTTTGATGAGCACTGATTAGCAATCTGATAAGATTATATAGAAGGAGAAAGGAGAAAGGAGAAAGGAGAAAGAAAAAACAAAATATAATGTAATGAATACAAATATATTGAGTAACATGAGAATATATTGAGTAGCGTGGGATATATTGGGTATCCAATATTGGTATCCTATTCTATTGAATCCTAACCCAGCTCCCCCCATAGGATAAGAAATCATGTATTTGATAAGATAAAATGAGACAATAAGATAAACTAATCATATCCTATTGACTCACCAAACAAGAGATAAAAGTAGGATATGATAAGTTATCTTATCTTTTTTATCAAGTGCCCCAAACAGACGCTTAATAGTTATCAAGCACGTGATGGATTCTTTTAGGCAAAAATTACATATTCCTTTTCTGATTGAAATGATTCGAAAATAAAGAAAATGAATCACAAGTTTACTTTTGATCTTCTTTTTTTCCATATAAAATACTTTATACGATCATCAAATCATCTCTCAGTATATTGGTTTTGACCGATCGAATGACCTTATTTGGACATTCATATTGACAGTTAGACAAAGTTAGCTTACCCACTCAACTCTCAAGGATGAATTATTTCTTTTATACCCGATTATCTCTCACTCCCATACATACATGACCTTTCCATGTAAAGAGTCACACATCCTCACACCTCAATAAAGGTCACAGAATTAAAAAAACGGTTATGAAATTACATTTTTTTACAGTAAAGGAATCTTCATCATGCTGCATATACCTCCACTGTATCATTTTTATAACTTGTCTACGGCGTGGTTGGAGCCCGAAATCCGGACACACCCTAACCTAGTCCCCAAAGCACCTCCTTGGACTGCCGAAATTCACCTGACTTCTTTTAGTGACTTGTCGAGTAAAATTTGATGCAATAATGTGTGCAATCTTGTTGATGTCTTCCTAAATTGGGACCTGGCCCTCTATTTTATTTCTTAATATAATTTTGAGCAAATTACTTCCTGTCCCCTCTCTAATGTTAAAATTAAAAGCTTCTTTCTATATTCAAAATTCAAAATCTACACAAATTTCGTTCAAATTTAAGATCAATTATGGTTGGATTTGGCACTCTACTTTTTTAATAGAAATGGACTTTTAAAATTATAAAAATAAGCATATTCGTATAACTTAACATGATATTTTGTACTATTTGCCCTCTAATTTAATATTTTAATTTTTAAAAAAGTCAATATCACAAGAAATTTATTGTTTGAATAATAAAATAACAGACTTCAACGGTGCTGAATTTCTGAAAGCATCTTCTTCTTTTATTCGTCGAATGCCATCTAAACCATCCACAAATGCGACAAATTATAGGATTCCATTAAAAATCATATCATAAAGGGACTGGACGACTAAACTTTGCCCTCAGTTTAGGAGAAAACATACATTTCAACTTGTAGTACAACTATTTTCAGGCCGAACCAACCACCAAGGAAAACCCAAAAGAACACAAAGACAAGAAAGAAAAGGAAATACCAACCACCACAAGGCTCGATCAGACAGATCTTAAGATAAGACAGCTAGCCGGCGAACCATTCTTGAGCCGTTGATTAGCACAAAGCAATAGTTCTCAGCTCTTTAGCCGAATTTATTGATTGGAGAACTGAAAAGGGCTTTGAAATTGCACAATGATCAATGAATAGAAAATAAATTTATGTACAGTTTTTACATGACTATAAGGCTCGGTTGGATTTTTCTGCTCCGCACGAAAGTTAAAAACTGAGTTGGTAATTCTGCTAAAAGTGCTTGAACAACTGAAATCTCTCCACCTGCAAGAGAAAGAAATTGACCAGTGCTTGATATATTAGGACTAATTCGCCAAAACTACATTATTTACAAACTGATACTTACTTTGAACATCCCGAAATGGAACAAATTGGACTATATCACGTGATGCAACGCGTCCATATGTACTTTCAAGTCTCTCTCCCTTGTCTGCATCCAAAACCTAAGCGACAAGAAATCGGAAAACAGAAAGACATAAAAGCATTGAAGTGGCATACCAGTCACATACTGACATACACAGCTCAGCGCCTCAGATGCCAAATAATTATTAACTCTACGTGTAAAGAGAAGACAAGTTGGATTTAATACCTCCATTTCTTTGAAATCAGCTCCTCCTACTCCGACAATAAGGATTGATAACGGCAGGTCAGATGCTTTAACAAGAGCATCTTTTGTTTCTTGGAGATCTGTCACTACTCCATCCTTGGAGGATAGCAATTAAATCTCAGAGCAGCAGTGGAAAAATAAGATGGGAAATTCTTAAAAAGTTCTCAGAAGTCAGGAAGGATGGGTGATTATCTTGTCATAGGTACGACAAATGTGGAATGTTACTATGCATAATATAGATGCTTGAAGGCATAGTACAGACTACAGAGAAACATTCGTGACAAACAACCAAAGAATCACTAACTTGCAAGTTATATTCAATGAGGCACAATTACAATTACTTGCAGAGACAATAAGCAATGATATAGAAGACAGCTACATATTTTAACTCTTACTGTGATTATTAGCAAGACAAAGTAATTCCTTCCACCATTTGCTACAGATTGGCTTGCAATCAGCGCAGCATTGCTTATGACAGGTCCAAAAAGAGTAGGTCCCGCAAGGGATACGTTATGCAGGGCACTTATGTATGCCATCATAATTCCTTGGATCCCTTCCACCTACAACAGACTGAAACTTATAACAACCAAAGAACTATTTCAATATGACAAAACAAGCAAGGGCAGAGTTAGTAGGTCTACCTCACAGTAATGACTGCTTCCATTCAAGTTGAAACAATGGGAGACAGGACCATCAATTGGCCGTGCTCCGAATCCCCAAGTAGGATATCGCTTGTCTGAATCATAAAACTGTAACACTTCACCAACCTCAACAATGGCCTAGATAAAGCATTCATAGAACATGGATCAATAACAAATAAGCTTGTGAATTTAAACCAAGAATCATTTCTTACCCTCTGGTATGCATTTGGCCGTCCTGAAGGATCAATATAATGCAAAGAATCTGGAAGACGATGATTTCCATTTGAAGCTGGTAAAAAAAGGGAAGGATTTAGTCCATAAGTGTGTGTCTTCCCTGTCATCCCTTACATAACCAGCATGTTAGTGGTTAGGTGAAAGTGTGAAACATGTATTATTGAGTTTATATTAAGTTTATCTTCTTCTATCCTCCTAATGAAAAGGGTGCTGGGGATGGGAGGGAGAAAAATAGATAGGATAAGGAGGGGAAGGGCAACCTCATACCAGCTGTTGAGCCTGACAACAGGGGCCTCGGAGGATTAGCATTTTGGGGAACTCGCAAATGGTTTCTCAAGGTAAACTAGACATAGCCAGTCTCCACCTAAACAAGCGCATTAGTGGAAACTGGAGCGTAAGTATTGAGTGAGGAGGACATGTGGTTAACTACTAAGCCGCTAGTTGGTGATAGATTGTACCATGAAACCAAAGGGTACATTATAATAGTGAAATTATATTGAACTTCTAACATTATTGTAAACCTCATGATGTCAAACGAATGACTTTGCAAGGCTAATCCTAGGCTGCAAGTATTAACGTAATTGGAAAAGCTAAGAAAATGTCTTAATATCTACAATAACTAGATGAAAGGTCAAAGAACAACAATCAATGTGTCAGCAAAGTATTTAAGATAGAAAATTTGTTAACATTTCATCCAAGTTCTCACGGAAATGACAAACATAACAAATTTAGCTATGATATAAGTTTGAGAACCTTTGTGATGTACAACAGTAAAGGGAAACCATTAACTATATTGAAAAATGCTCCAACTTGTTAAGGATAAAATGATTAAATTATATGGCAAGATTAGGAATCCTACAATAATGTTTATCATCTCATTCGCTATCACTTATCATTATGTTTATATACCGAGACCAGTACAAGAAATTTGAGGATAATAGTCTGTACCTGTAAAGTCAACAGCCACCATGAAGTTCAATTCAAATCCCCCAGCCAAGTAATCCAGGAAAGTGTATTGGACACTTTCAGTAAATTTTTCCACAAATAGCTGGCTCTTTAACACCTATATTATAGTTAAATATGCTTTTAGGGATAGATAGAGGAATTCATGATGGAAATCGACTTAATTAATATAATAAGACCTTGTTATCATGATTTTGTCCACTAGAAGCAGGCAAAAGTAACTTTTCTCCTTGGCCATTACAATGAATCATCTCCAACTCCGCCAAAGATCTCTGCACTTTTCTGATAAACCAAGAATAAACAACCCTAAAATGTGTTTCAGCCTAGGAATAGGATTGATGGAAAAATGGACAGACACATGAAAAATGGACTGGCAATTACCCCATTAAATAATGTTTGCCATTGCTATTAAAGTTATAGCACTCTATTATCAAAGGACTGTCCTGTACACGATTAAAATGAAAAATGAGATAGCTTCAATTATTTGCAGTAACATCAAGCCAAAACGTACTAAAGTCAACATTACCCAGAACTCTATAATAGTGGTAACATGCATTAATACGAAATTTATTAATTATGAAAGAAGAACATTTCTAGAATATACAGTCTTAAACACTGCAACTTGAATCAGTGACCTTCCATTTGAAGAAATCTTTGAAACAAAAGGAGCATGATATGGCTGTTTACTACAGGCAATGAAAACTAGAAATGGTCTATATAACAGTACGATTGCCATCCTTTATATTTTTAGATAAATGGCCACATCAAATGACAGAATTGTATTTAAGCTATATACCTTGCTTACTACTTGTTGAATATTCAAGAACACTGGCTTCCATATTGGGTTGAGATCATTCTTTATAACTTCTGTTTTGCAAATGGGAATTTGGGTACCACCTTCCACGACTTTTGATATCAACAGAAAGGGATCCTACAAGACAAACAAAAGCATGCCTTATACTAGAACTGGCACTCCTCATAATGCCAAAAGGAAAAAGAATATAGGCACATACACTTCTGGAGAAAAGATCCCTACATTCCAAATCTGAACACCTGAATGCAATCTCCATTGCAGTCTTTGAGTTAACACTTTCCTCGGCATGCACCGAGAGCTTCCCACTGTTTTGGGAGTGGGTAGATCTTATAGAATCTTCTGCGTGTAGATCTAATGGCAATGATCGATCAGATTTTGTTATTATCTGCAGAAGTCAATTTGTTATTGTTGATGGATATAATTGTTGGGAATTAGGGATACTATTTAAATTTCAGTAATGCATAGGGCAGCATAATTTGAGTAAGCACTTCTTGGTTTAAGAACTTTTAACATGCTTGGTAGTTACCAAATGAACTATTAACTCTAAAACATAAATGTTACACATTTTCAAGCATCATATATTCAGAAAAACAATTATTTTGTAAGATAGTTAACACTCTTGGATCATAAAGATACAGGTTCACTGGTTGCATAATGAATTCCCCTTAAGTTGTCAGATATCTGTCGGCAAAAAGCTGAACAGTCTCTATATTACCTCAGATAATGCACAGGTAGTCTCGCCAAGAAATTGCTGCTCTTCTAGCTTTAGCATCTGCAAAGTCAACCAAATAGTTACAATCTGGACCTTTTTACACTCATGCTCTATCAACATGTTATCACGTCTAATGAACAACAAAACAAAATTGTCCACATGGCAAACTAATATCTTATCTTGGTAAAAACTGGGATATGATTGTTGCACAACCCCTTATGAGTTGTGCAGAATCTGCACCATTTACAAAAAAGTTAAGTGGGTTCAGTTTTCTAGTGGCTGGGAAGAAGGTTGTTAGGAAACCATTTCTGCAAATAACAGTACCCAAAATGTCACCTACAATGATCCATGTTTAGCAAGTACACATTTTTACTTTTCTCCTAATATGTTACAATTACTTTTCAAATTTACATGTTATAACATGTAAATTATCTTCACTTCAAAAAACATTGAACTAAAAAATGATAGAAGAAAAAAAAAACTTAATACAATGATAAATGAGGTAAAATTATAATCACATGGAACAGTGACTCCAACATACAACACATATATAAAGACTTCAATTTTTTGTAAGTAAAAGGATGCACAATATAGAATAGGATGTTGGCAAATGTGTAAGAATGAAATTGAAATGAAAGACATGTTTACTTTTCATGCAAGACAATTAAATAGAAAATTGAAATTTAAACATCCTAACTTACCCATTTCTCGAGTATATAATACGATATGTTCATATTGTCAAAATATATCAGTAACACTATTAGAGCTTGAAGAATTGCAGAAAATAGTAAGCTATTTAACAAAAAATTTCTAACCCTCTTATCCTTTACATGAACTTCTACACAGTTACAAATGATAATTGACTATTAATTTATCACACACAATCTCAAACTAGGTGATATCAACATCTTTACCCTCCTCACATTTCTTAATACAAATTAGATTACAAGATTCTCGGAATCATTGGCGCATTTTTCTTGATATCAACATCTTTACCCTCCTCACATTTCTTAATACAAATTAGATTACAAGATTCTCGGAATCATTGGCGCATTTTTCTTAGAAAAATCGGGAAAAAATTATTTAAGTTTGCTGAGTTGCTATGAATTTGTATTTGAAAGGAAAAGAAAAGTTCTACAGAATTTTGAATAAAACAATATAGTAGTCTTACAATTATAAACATTGACAGAAAAAATTGTCATTCAGGAACAGAATTTTAACCATTGTATGCATAGATTTGTTAATGAATCTATAAATTCTCAAAATGGGAAGTGGTAGACTAGAATCTAATTTGATGAGGAAATTACATATTGGAAATATCTTACTCAAAAATATTCAAGCACACACGCCATCATAAACGCTATACCTTTACATCTACATTGTGAAACTGAGTATCAACATCATACACACGAAACCTGTGATGAAAGAAATTTTACAGAAAATTTCCTGGTGAAACAAGAAATGCTCATCCGCCTTGTTAGAAGTATAAATATCAGATTCAAACTTACACTAAAACCTGAACAACCTCAAAATGATAAATGAGGGTGTGTTTAGTAATCCACGCGGGATTCAATGAATTCAGAACTACTTCCGTGCGGCAAAGTTCCTCAAGTGCTCCATTTTTTCCTTTTGCATAAAGAACCATCAGCGGATCACTCTACATCAAAGAAAAGATAAATATAAAATATCCTAACTCTTTTGAGACAAAAGCAAGATTCACGCAACAAAATGACGAGAATATTAGCTATTAAAAGCATAATGCTTTTTTTATTTGTTTAAAAAAATGGCAATTCTATAACCAAAGGAACAACTGACAGTAGCCCCGTTGATCCGTTTGGTTTATTTACTGACTCATGGCAAATTATTTCATATAAAAAATATTTGTTAGTATATTAAATAACAATTAGGAAAAGAACTGTTACGCTTTCTTCTTCTCTCTTTTATTTTATTTTTTTTACTTAAGGGACTCTGCTTGCATTTGGCCTGGATTAGTGGATTTATTTTATTTTATTTTTCTTTTCTTTCTGTATTTTCTGTGCGCTGTGAGAAATTTCCTGATAGAAATTGCAGCTCACGAATTCATGATCATAAGAGCTACGTGCTCCTGATTTCTTAAAGAACTATACGACTAATTCTGATTGAAGTGTTAAGGAGTTTCCCTATAATTCATTCCCCCCCCCCCCCCCCCCCCCCCCCCCCCCCCCCCCCCCCCCCCCCCCCCCCCCCCCCCCCCCCCCCCCCCCCCCCCCCCCCCCCTAAACGTGCATGATGATTTGTTAACCATTAATAATAGATCAAAACAAGAGATAATCGATCTGGTATAAAAAAACAAAACCAGAGATGATCGAGTAGTAGACAAGTTCAATTCAAACTAAACAGAACCGAAACAAGTTTAACAATAAATAACTAAATAGCTAGGATAGAATGCATGAGCTTCAGATTCATGAAATGCTTAACCAACAGAAACAAACCTTGGAGAGCACATCACGATCACGCAAGCCTGAAGCGGAAAACGATAACTGCAGCACAAAAAGAAGCCACCGTCACACAAGGAAAAGCTCCTTCCATGAAAAACCAGGCATGAGCGAAGTTACAATTCCATGGGGGAAGAGGAAGAGAACGTGCAAATAAATATACAGAGAAAGTCGAAAGAAGCAAAGAAAGAACCTCGATCTGAGAGAAGAGACCGTGGTAGCCTCGAGACCTAAGGAAGTTCTCGACGGCGTCGTTCGGACCGTACGCCGAATTGTGGAGATAGCCGGCGGTACCGCCGATAGCGGCGCTGCCTCCGGCGATGTCGGAGAAGCAGTTTCCCATCGAACAGTGCGCTCAGCGTGTTGAAGTTGGCCTGCCTGGCTTGACCTCAGTCTTTCCGTTGAACTCAGCAAGTGACCGGGAACAAAACTGCAAAATGAAAAAAATGAAAATAAATAAATAGATAAATAAACTGAAAACGACAAACAAAAAATACACAGAATATCCAAATATCTAATTTGTTAATTTGTGTTGCAAAATATGGATGACTTAAATTATACTTAAATCATGTCACCGTTACATTATCGTTAGAGTAACGGTACAATTATGAATGACGTTGTGTAATTATCTCACATTCATAATTATGTAACCGCCGCACTAATGGATCATTACTCCCTTATTTATGGTTATAATCATATATATTGACATTGTTTGTATTGAAGTATATGTTGAAGAGAAGATTTGAATTTCAAATTTAAAAGTTTGTTGTAATCTGAAACCATTTGATAGAAATAGTAATGTTAGGAAGTTGTTAGTTTGTTTTTAGTTTGTTAATATTCTCTGTTTTAAATTTATTTTAGAACCATTGTTCGCTGTGTATAAATACACCTCAAGGCTGAGGATACAATATATGCAAATAACCATTTCTTGACATGGTATCAAGCTGTGAAACACGGACACGACATTTTAGGGGGAAAATGCGTGTCCGACACGTGTCGGACACGGACACGTTCGGACACGCTCGGACACGCGTTCGACACGTGGTCAACTTTTTGGGACACGTTGACTATTGGGACAAGCGAATTTGACCGAGTCCGACACGCGATCAACGCATATGGACACGTTCTGGGACACGTTTTTACATTTTTTTTAAAAAAATAAATAAAATTACCATTAAAAAAATACAAAATAATTAATAAAAATATAGAATGTCTTATGTCTGAACCCTATCATCGGATCCTCTCTCGCGCTGGAGGCTTTCTCTTCTTCGTTGTCGGTCTCCGGTCGTCCTCCTCCTCCGGCTCAGCCCGCCAAGAAGCTCCTCATTGTCGGTCTCCGGTCGTCCTCCTCCTACGGCTCAGCCCGCCAAGAAGCTCCACAAAGGTACCCCATTCATTCTATTGTCCCTGTCCCACAAATCAATATACATAGTTGTGTGCTTTTTGAATCTTGAATTTCAAATCACGAAGATTCATGGTATCTACAAGCGGGACACTGTCTCTGCGCCATGTGAAATTTTCAGTCACAATTCTCATTCAATAACCTGTATAAAATTATATAAGCAGCTTTTATGAACCATTATCATTTAGATAAATATTATTTGTGCACCATACCCAAAAAAAATAATTATTTGTACAATTATAGTTAGGCGAAGCTGCTTCCAATTTTTTTATTTTCATTTTTTGCTTAGTATTTTACATTGGTTTAGGTACTTTTTCCTTTCATTTGTGCCCATTAAGCAGTGATGGAGGCATTGCATCAACTTTTTTTTTTTTAATTGATAATTCTTTCTTTGAGAATTGAAAAAAACGTCAACAGTTTTTTGACATTTATTGGGTTGATAGACTGCAAATGCTCAAAAAAGGGCGTTTATGTTGTATAATATTTGGCATGATCAGAAAGATATTGATTGCACTCTGCATTATTTGCATTTTTTTCAAAATTGATGTCCTCTGTAGGCTAAGTGAAATCCAATTAGTTTGACTCTCTGCTTTATTTCTCTTTATAATTGGATTCTCATGATGATGGTTGCAAGATAACTGGTTGCAAGACACTTTATGTTGCATGTTTGATGTTTCCTCAAAGAAGGAACAAAGACTGGTTGGCTCTTATGTAGCAAGCAGGTCAAAAATCAAAACATGCCATCCCAAGCAGGATGTTCGAAACTTATGTTGGATAGTCCAAGAAGTTCAAAGATGAAGTTTTGTAGGCTTGATTTGATAGGGAGAGAATTAAGATAGCCTCACTCACTTCAATTGTTTAGAGATTATTTGGAAGAAGAAATAATGTGCAATGTCTCTGTTTGTCCATGCTTGCATGCCTTTCCAATCTGTTTGCGTGTGTGTCTGTGAGTGTGTGTTTTTCTATTTATGGTTTTCAGATTCATTTTACATTTACTTGCTTTAGTTATGTTTTTTATTATTACATCCTTTGCATTTACTTGCTTTAGTTATATATATTAAAAAATTTATTTAATATCAAAACGTGTCCCAACGTGTCCAAATATGACATTTTTTAGAATTAACGTGTCAGCGTGTCGTGTCGTGTCGTGTCCCGTGTCCGTGTCCATGCATCATAGGTATCAAGAGCGTTGTTCTGATCTTGGACAAAAACATTTTTTTTCAGAATTTGGTTTTACCCTCCCGTAGCCCATACCATTTATTACCTGGGCAAAAACATTACCCTCCCGTACCATTTTTTCAGAATTTGGTTCTACTTCTCGTGATCCTGGGCAAAACCATTTCTTCTACCCTTCTGTACCCACCCTTTTAACATTGGCAACCCGAACCATACCTGAATTTGGTTTCCTTCAGAATTCTTTTTCCCAATTTGTTTTTTTCCTAATTTCATATTCAGAACCTTAATTTTCTCATCGTAGCCATGGACCACACTTCTCCACAAAATTCTGAAACTGTTCCCCCATCGTCCTCCACCCCACCACCACCAACACAGAACATTGTTATCCACCAAGACCATTCCTCTCTTCCTCTGATTGTTATGCTTGATGAATCAAACTACCCTCTTTGGTCACAACTCATGGATATGAGAATTGGGGCCCGTAATAAACCGAACCCAGGTGACCCCTCATTTGATTCATGGATCACCGACAACAAACGAGTCAAAAGTTGGTTAATCGACTCCATGAGCCCTAGCCTGATGCAACGGTTCATTCGCTTGGAAACTGCATGCGAAATATGGGAAGCTGCTTCAAAAACGTTCTATGTTGATTCTGATGAGTCATGTCTTTTTGATCTTAACCAAAGGTCATTCACCACAAAGCAACTCGGACGTCCTCTTGCAACCTATTACAGTGAACTATTAGCCATCTTCCAACAAATTGACCACTGTACATCTTCATCTGAGTCTGTTGTTCATCTTGTTCAGTAGCACTCAACTCTCTCTCGCTTACGGTTCCACATCTTTCTTGCTGGTCTTGACTCTGAATTCGATCAGGTACGTAGTGAAATACTTTGCAAAGATCCCAAACTTGACCTGGAGAGTTCTTATGCTTTTGTGAGGCGTGATTCCCTACAACGCCATACCATGAATAATCTGAAAGTTCCTTCTCTGCTTTTCTCACTCATAACCTCACACCAACTCTTCTCAACCCTCCAGACCTCGCCGGGATAATGCACCTCCCCACAAGTCTTCTTCCTTCATTTGCTCTCATTATGGAGTGTAATATTCAAAGTAATAATAATAATAAAATAAAATATAAAATATCTTAGATATTTAGCAAAATATCTTAGATATTTATAAAAGTAATGATTAGATTCCTTGGATTTTTATAAACGTAATGATTAAGATTCCTTAGATATTTATAAAAGTAATGATTATATTCCTTAGATATTTATAAACGTAATGATTAAGATTCCTTAGATATTTATAAAGGTAATGATTAAGATTCCTTAGATATTTATAAAAAGTAATGATCTTGAATCAAGTTTATAGAAATTAAAGAATTTCTTTGGTACCAAATGAATACTAATGGAATATGTAATCCTTTACTAAATGATTCTGATGTGACTGACCACAAGGGGATCAGAATGGTTATAGGGTAAGGGACGCCTTATCATGGTTTGAGCTCCGCCATACAGAACCTTTCACATACAGAACCCACAGAGTTTGGGCGCTCCAGAATTGAGCATTAGTCATTCCAGTTAAAGATTACACATTCCTATATATGTATCTAGAACCCACAAAGTTTGGGTAGAACCCACAAAGGTTTGGGTATGACTGAATGAAGAACCCACAAAGGTTGGGCTTATATTTATTGTTTATGATATTATCTTCTTATTATAAGTTTACTTTGTGAGAATGATATTTTTCACTAAAGTGGTTGGATTGGTTATAGTTCGAAAACCCCAATATTACTGAGATTTATCTCACGTGTGTTTGTTTTTTATGCTAACCTTTCCAGAGTAAGCAGACCAGTCTATATAGCTTTGGAGTAGGATAAGCACTATGGCTAAAGACTTTGAAGACTATATGGAGCTTAATGGAGCAAATTAATAGAAAGAAAATATGTTTTTCTTAGTTTAGATTATGATGTATTTCTGATGTAATAGTGAACTTAACTTTTGTATAATTAGATTTTATGGGTATTTTGTCATATGCCTTATTTCATATCTGTTGCGTTAGAATTTCACTTAAGAATCAATGTGATATCTTCTATCCTAGTCAGTTATAGAGGATGTTACATGGAGACTCTGGTCATTCCAAGCAACGCTGCTATGAGCTAATTGGGTATCCTGATTGGTGGGACTTCACTAAACGTCCTCGGAAGAAGATCTCTCCTAAAGCAAATCTCACTATTATTGATGATACGTCCCCAAGTCCCCAGGCCAATGTCGTCTAAAGTAGCATCTTGGGTAAGTCTTTTGCTTTTTTCTGCTCATTCTATGAATACTACATGGATTATTGATACTGGAGCTTCTGACCATATGGTTCGGGACTCTTTTTTACTGTCAAATTTCCAATCTTGTTCTAAACTTTTTATATCCACTGCCAATGGAGGTGCCTCCCCAATTTCTGGACAAGGTTCTATTTCTTTATCTCCTGAGTTAACACTTTCCTCTGTTTTATGTGTACCCTCCTTGGAATTCAATCTTTTATCCGTGAGTCGCCTAACATCTGATCTTATCTGTTGTGTTACTTTTTTTTCCCTCTTACTGCCTTTTTCAGGACATCCCCCAACAGAAGACGCTTGGTTATGGCATTAAGATTGGTGACCTTTACTACTTGGATCTCACCTGCAACATCTCTCCCTCTATTTCTCGGACTTGTACCTCTCTTTCTGACTCCAAGGCTTTTTCTCAAATCTGGTTATGGCATCGTAGATTAGGACATTTATCTTTTAGTTATCTTCATAAAGTGTTTCCCCATTTGTTTTCTTCAGTTAAAGTGTCTCAATTTCAATGTACTACTTGTGAATTGGCAAAAAGCCACAAAATCCCCTATTTTCCAAGTATGAATAAAAGTTCAATTCCTTTTGAAGTTGTACACTCAAATATTTGGGGACCTGCGAAAATTCCCTCTCTTTAAAAAAACTCTATTATATTATCTTTATTGATGAATGTACTCGTATGACATGGATTACTCTTTTATCTCATAAAAATGGTGCTTTTTCTACCTTCAAAGTTTTTTGCAACATAGTTCATACACAATTTCAGTCTTCTGTTCGTACTCTCCAATCTGACAATGGCTCTGAATACCTTAACTCCCACTTCACATAATATCTTACCACTCATGGCATTAAACACCAAACCTCCTGCCCATACACACCCCAACAAAATGGCCTTGCTGAGCGTAAAAATAGACATCTTCTTGAGGTTGTCCGTGCATCTTTGTTTGGCATGGATGTTCCTAGACATTATTGGGGGGAGGCTGTAATTTCTGCTGCCTATTTGATTAACCGCACCCCTTCTCGTGCTCTCAATTTTCTTACTCCACAACAAAAATTGGAATCCTTCTTCTCTATTCCCCATTGCCCAAATCTTGAACCCCGTGTATTTGGATGTGTAGCCTATGTTCATGTCCCTAAGGTTCTTCGAAATAAATTGGACCCATGTGCAAAGAAATGTATTTTTGTGGGTTATTCTGAGGTACAAAAAGGCTATAGATATTATGATCCTTGCCTTCGTAAAATATATGTTACTTTAGATGTATCTTTTCGGGAGTCTGAGCCCTTTTATTTAGGGGGAGCTTTACCCTCTTCTCCTCAGGGGGAGATTGACTATGGAGGAAAAGTTTCTGTTGAACTTCCAACAAGTTTACAAAATACCAATGCTCCTGTCGTTGGTCCAAGACTCCATGAAGCTGAAAGAGATGATCCAAATGACACACAAGACTCCCAAATCTTAACACCTATAACTGAGCCACCTTCTCTGGATGTCCCAAACACTGCACATCACATGGAAAATGAGGTAATTTCTGATCCAAACTCCTCTACATTTGATTCCTCTATTCCCACACATTCTACTCCTATATTAAGAAGATCAGAGAGAGTTACAAAGGGAATTCCCACAAAATTATATGAACCTAACCCACATACCTCCGTCAAATACCCAATTGGAAATTATGTGTCAACAAAAAAATTATCTGAATCATATGCATTAGCTACTAATCAATTATCTAGTATATGTATTCCTAGGAATGTGCAGGATGCAATAGCTGATCCAAAATGGAAAGAAGCCATAGCAATAGAAATGGAAGCCCTACAAAAGAATTCTCCTTGGGATATAGTTCATCTACCTACAGGAAAACAGAGGATAGGTTGCAAATGGGTCTTCACCTTGAAACTCAAGTCTGATGGCAACTTGGATCGGTATAAAGCAAGGCTGGTTGTAAAGGGGTACACACAAAAGTTTGGAATTGATTATCAAGAAACGTTTGCACCTGTGGCCAAACTTAACACCATCTGAATCCTAATATCCATAGCAGCCCAAAAAAATTGGCCCTTGAAGCAATTTGACGTAAAAAATGCCTTCTTAAATGGAGATTTGGAGGAGGAGGTGTACATGGACATCCCACCAGGTATGAATTATGGTTCCTTGAAGGGAAATGTAGTATGTAAATTGAAGAAAGCTTTATATGGACTAAAACAGTCCCTAAGGGCCTGGTTTGGCCGATTTTCTCTTGCTATGAAAAAATTTGGATACAAACAAAGCAATTCTGACCATACTTTGTTTGTCAAACAATAAAACAACAAGGTAACAGTTCTAATAGTATATGTTGATGATATTGTACTGACTGGTGATGATACAGAATAGAAGCAAGCATTAGAAGCCGAACTAGCAACCGAATTTGAAATGAAAAATTTGGGTTAGCTGAAGTATTTTTTAGGCATCGAAGTAGCCAGATCTGATCAAGGTATATGCTTATCTTAGAAAAAATACGTGCTTGACTTGTTGACTGAAACTGGAATGTTAGCTAGTAAACCAGTATACACTCCAATAGAAATGAATCATACCCTTGCAGTTTATCCTAACCAAACAAAGACTGATATTGACAAGTACCAAAGATTGGTTGGAAAATTAATATACCTATCATACACTAGACCTGATATTTCTTATGTTGTAAGTGTTGTGAGTAGGTTTATGCACTCCCCAAGTGATGACCATATGAATGTAGTATATAGAATTCTCAGATACTTGAAAGGAACTCTTGGAAAAGGACTACTTTTTTTCAAAAAATCAAAATGTATCTATTATAGGATATACTAATTCTGATTGGGCTGGAGAAAAAACTACAAGACAGTCAACATCTGGATACTTTACCTTTGTAGGGGGCAACCTAGTTACTTGGAGGAGTAAAAAGCAGAAGGTAGTGGCAAGGTCAAGTGCTGAAGCAGAATTCAGGGGAATGGCTCGTGGAATTTGTGAACTACTATGGATAAAAAAAGTTCTTCAAGATATTAGGATCAACTACAATGAACCAATGAAGCTTTACTGCGATAACAAGGCAGCCATTGAAATAGCTCACAATCCTGTACAACATGATAGAACCAAACTTGAGGGGGAGTGTTGAAGAGAAGATTTGAATTCCAAATTGAAAAGTTTGTTGTAATCTGAAACCATTTGATAGAAATAGGAATATTAGGAAGTTGTTAGTTTGTTAATATTCTCTGTTTTATATTTATTCTAGAATCATTGTTCGTTGTGTATAAAAACACCTCAAGCTGAGGATACAATATATGCAAATAACCATTTCTTGACAGTATATATAGCTGAATGATAATTAGATTTATGCCTTATTTCGTGTTGTCTGTTTGTATTGAAGTATATAGAATTAGATTTATGCCTTATTTCTTGTTGTCATTTTCTCTTTCATTTCTTCTTTTATTTTATAACATGTTATCTATCAACACGATAGCCTCTACCAACCAA